TAGACAAAAGCACCAAAACGTAGACGTGAAAAAAGAAAGAGCAAGTGTGGTGGTGAAAACAAAGTGGGATCCTGTGAGGGAGGACTGTGCAGGGTCTGAAAGGCCTCACTGGGGTGACATTGCCGATACCCAAATGACAAGAGGAAGCCACTCTGCACAAGTCTTGGCGCCGTGTGTCAGGGAGAAGGCACCACTGAGACAGAGACTCACAGGCAAAAGTGGGTTTGATCAGAAGAGGTTAGAAAAGTGGCCAGTGTGGCTGGAGGGAGCCTTGGAGGAGAGAGGGGGTGGGCAATGTGGGCAGGGCCAGATTCTGGGGCCTCGTGGACTGTGTTAGTTATCATTTCCTCTCTGACTACATTGCCCCAATACCTTGCATTTTAAAGCTACAAATATTTAATATCTCACCATTTGTGTGGACCAGCTGTCCAGGCATGACACCACCTGTGTCTCTGCCTCAGGATGTATCACAAGGTTGGGGCTGTAGCCTCATCTAAGGCTGGACTGTGGAGGATTTGCTCCCAAGTTCACTCACAGAACTCACAATGCAGTTTCAACAGAGAGACTGAGTTCTTTCCCATCTGTCAGCTTGGGCACTCCCTTGTTTCTCTTCTATGTGAGCCTCTAACGGGGCAGCTCAAAGCATCAGGGCCTGATTCCCTGGGGATATGACAAAGAGAGCAAGTCAGAGAGAGAGAGGGAGAGAGAGAGCGCGTGCCAGAGAGAGAGGAAACACAAGCGATGGAGTGAGAGGAAAGAGAGTGTTTTTGGCATTTTGTCTCAAATTTAGACATCCCATCACGTTGGCCATATTCTGTTGGTCAAAGCCCAGTTTCTAAATGCTTAGTGGTTACACCGGGATGTGTATACCAGGGGTGGGGATCACTGAAAGCCATTGTGGAGGCAGTCCACCCCATAAGCTGTGATGACGATCATGGGTCTTATCCTTTTTTTTTTTTTTTTAACATTTTTTATTTATTTTACGGAGAGAGACACAGCGAGAGAGGGAACACAAGCAGGGGGAGTGGGAGAGGGAGAAGCAGGCTTCCCGCGGGGCAGGGAGCCCGATGCGGGGCTCGATCCCAGGACCCTGGGATCATGACCTGAGCCGAAGGCAGACGCTTAACGACTGAGCCACCCAGGCGCCCCGGGTCTTATTCTAAATATAACAGGAGACAATGGAACAATTTTACGCCAGAGGATAACAATATCTGAATTTACATTAATTTCATCTCCCCCCCCCGCCCCCCCCCCCCCCGCCCGTGGCTCTGACCTGAAAATGAGGCAAAGTTGGAAGTGACTTTTTCAATACTATACTGCTGGAACCCAGGTCTGCTTTGAGTGGTGTTCCAACCCCTTCTTGTAATTCTTCAATCACTAAATTGTGTCATAGATACATATGACACCATCCCCCAGGTGTAAGAGATATTATCTCAGATACAACTGTTGAGGTCCCTAGGAAGTAGGTTCTAGCCTCATCCCCTTTGTGAAGGTTTGGAGACTGGGGAAGACCTGAGAGGCACAGTGATTTTCCCAGGGCAAAGAATAGGTAAGAAAAAGGAGGCCCAGATTCAGCTCTGTCTTCTCAAAGCTAGGATCTTCATTACATTTTCAGGGATGTGTGAAGAGGGATGTTTTGACTAATTTTGTGTGGTTAAGCAGTTGGCATGGGGGAAGAGGAGGAGCAGTGAACAGCCCATAGGGCACTTTGGATAAGTCTGATTGAAAGGAGGGGCCCGGGTAACAGAATCTTCAAAAAGTGACCTCACTTCTTTGTGGTCATAGACCTCAACAGAACTTAGAACTGTGGTAACCAAGGACCTACATTCTAGAGATAGCCCCTATCCAGCTCACTTGACTGGAGACAGTCAGGAGAGCAAGATGTTTCAATGTTGTTTCTCTGGTAGCAGAAGATCTGGGCTCAAGAAAGCTCAGAGTGAGAATCTTTTTAGTCGCTGTAGACACTGGCTCAGCCATCAGTCCCGACGCATCCGGTCATTTTGGAGAAGGCACCGAAAGGTAACACAAAAGAGCCCAAGGCAGGCCAATTCAGGCTGGGACAAAATTGTGATTCCACCTGAGCAGCGCCGCACCTCTCGTCCCTCATCGTGTGTGTGTGTCTTTGTGTGTGTGTGTCTGTGTGTCTGTGTTGGGACAGAGGAGGCAGGACTCAGGGTTGAGTCCTTCCTGGGCAGAAGCTGATTGTTAGGTGTTGGAAGCCTGGTGGGTCTTTCGTGTTTATACCTCGGTCACGGCTGGTGCATGAGAAGGTGAGTTCTTCTACCCATGTTAATCCTGAGCGCTACAGGTTTTATCTTGTTTCCTCTCTGGGTAGAGTTCTTTGCAGATGCCCTACTCTGCCCCAAGGGTGGAACAGATTTTCTCTTGAGAGTATCCCCCAGTGGCAATGTCCAGACGTGTCCTTTATTCCTCCTGGCCAAGCTATTAGGCACTGTCTTTGCAGAACTCAAACCAGGAGATCATCGAGGAGCTGGCTGATGGGTTCAACTACTCCATCTCCCTAGACAAGGGGCAGATGCACCGGGACACCAAGAAGGGCCGACATTGGTCTTGGGTAAGTGTAGGCACAGAGGAGGTTACAGGTTACCACAGCCGGGACTGGGGTGGGCCCAGAACCCGGACTCATATCTGGCAACTACCCGAGACCATTCCAGGAATGTGGCTACTCCATATCCTTCCTGTCGCTGTCAGGAGCTGACCAAGCCTCAGGTAATTTAGTGGGAATGTCATGCAGCCTATCTTTAAATGGTTCTCCGTTCTGATGTGCATGATCTTGAGCAACCATATGAAATCCCTAATCCTCTCTTTCCCAGTATCTACAGTGGGCAAGTTTGTTGATGACTCACTGGGATAATCCTCTTAATATGGGATGTTAATACAGAGAGGTGCTATGGTTTTCAGCTAACAAAATGCCTTGGAGGTATCAATTATTTATCATTCCCCCAAATAAAAATGTACTTTTATTTATTTATTTTATTTAAAAACTTTCCTTTTTTAATTTAAATTGTATTTAGTTAACATACAGTGCAATATTGGTTTCTGGAGTGGAATTCGGTGGTTCATCACTTCCATACAACACCCAGTGCTCATCACAACAAGTGCCCTCCTTAATATCCATCACCCATCTAGCCCATCCCCCCCCCCACCTCCCTCCATCAACCCTCAGTTTGTTCTCTATCGTTAAGAGTCTTTTATGGTTTGTTTCCCTCTCTCCTTTCACCCCCCCTTCCCATACGTTCACCTGTTTTCTTTCTGAAATTCCACATATGAGTGAGATCATATGCAAAATGCACTTTTAAAGCCTAGAACATTTTATGGTATAGGCACTCAGGTCCCTCTTCTTGCACTAGTTCATGAGGTGGTGGGACTTTCCAGCCTGAGCTCCAGACCCTGATGTTCCTGGAGGCTCATGGTGATGCTGCTGATTATATGTTCCTCTTGTCCACCAGTGTGAAAAGGAGTCCACACTGTGCCTGGATGAGGCCTGCACAATGCGGACGCTCCAGGAAGGCACAATTCAAATGTTAGAGTCCCTGGTACCAGCATACCCAAGTGAAAACATCTCCTACATCACCACATTCCTGGACCCCTACCAGGCCTTCACCAGCTCCCAACAGATCCTGGGCCATTTTTTTAAAAGGTGAGTGCCTGCTCCCTCCATAGCATTATGGTGAGTCTCCTGCCTACTAACTGTGTGTCTGGGGAATGTCAACATACCTCTCTGCACTGCACTTTGCTCTTCTGAGAAGTAGGTGGGAAAAGAATAAACATGACAGAGTTATTGTAGGCAATCATGGGATAATAAGCCCATGGTAGGTGCTTACCTGGTACGTTGCTCTGCAGATAGGACTGCTGGACATGCTGGGCATCTTCATGTTTGTTATTTCTCTGTCCCTAGTGAAAGAGTTCTCTGCCTTGCCCTTCCCTGGCCTGTGTTTTCTGTGAGCTTGGAAAGCACATGGAAAGCAACCCAGTTTCCCAACTGCAAAGAAATTTTGAGATTCCATCCAGCTATTCCTGGTCCGTGTCTTTGGTGTAGCCAGATGAGGTCTCTCTGAGGGCAGGAAGAGGAGCTCCAGTCCCACTCAGATGTGTGGGAAGGTTCTGGTTGAGATTCATGCATTCAACAATACATATTAAACACATGCAGACATTTTGTAGACACTAAGATAATGCAACGGCTGAAGCAGACTCAATCCTTGGGCCTCAATTCTAGTCTGAGAGTCAGAGAGTCACACTAGATGTCATAAGCCGTTGTGTTCCCAGTACATTAGATGTGATGCCGTCATGACCTCCTGTAGATACAGACGCTCCTTCCCATGTTCAGACGTGGAGGAAGGAACAGAAGAACCACTGAAAAGGTGAGTAGTCCTTGGGCCTAGAAGCAGAATGGGATAGTAAGGGAGTCCCTGGGGAGGGACTGGTAGTACCCCGATCTCACACATGTTTGATTCCCATGGAGGGCTGAGGTCTGAGGGCTTCCACCGCCTGAGAAAATGAGTCAGAGAGCTGTGGATGGGGTCCTAAGGCCTTGGGAGGCAGAGGGGAGGCTAAGCTGAGTCAGACCCTGAGCGATTCATCGTTTCCAGTCCGATCTTCTGCTCCCTGCCCTGTCCATATCCATCTCTCTTGACCACTACCCCTGGGGCCCAGAATAATCGGTGTGGTAAGCAGCCTGCTCACAAATATGCCATAAACCTCAATCCTAATGCTCATGTGCATGGAAGATGGGGTAGGCCATGCCCAGGCCCTTTGGGAGACAAGTGTCAGTGGAAGGATGGGCCTCACAAGACTCTCTTTAGATGTGCCCCTGACCATGCCTTCCATTGCAAAACATGGCCACAGAGTGTTTGGGGGTGAGGTGGGGCCATCCTTTGGTGCCCAGACACAAGGAGGGGGATGTGGAAGCATGGTGTGGAAAAAAAGGACGGGCCTCTGACTCTGTTCCACACATGACTTCCCCCAGGGCCCTCTCGCCCATGCTGCACAGCTGGGAAGATCAATACTTACAGGAGGACTGGCAGACCCTGCACCATCCTTGGTTAAAACTGATGGTGGCATACATACACGCCAGCTTGCCTGGCTTAGACCTGAAGTGCTGTGACCCACTGTCCATGGTCCATTTGGAACATCTAGGGCCCACTGAGGCAGAAAAAGAGGGTAAGGGGGACTTCAGTCTGGGAAAATATCCAGGGTGGGCTTCATGTGCTGGGTATTCCCTTAAAGGCAGTAGGATCCTTCCTGTTTTTGGAAAGACACATGGAAACTCCGTTACATTGTAGAACTCTTCTCTTTTTCCTCTTCAGTGCCAGCTCCAGAGCCCCAGCCTGCTGCAAAGTCCGAACAAAGGCCAACTCTGGATTTAGAGCATGTTCCAGCTCCATTTTTACTACCGCCTTTAGTGATGGAGCCACCATCAATGGCTCCAGTATTGGAGCAAGAGCAAACATCAGCTCTGGCACAAATGCCAAGCCCTGAGCCGGAGTCAGCTGGATGTTCAGCTCTATTCAGAATTTGCTTTCCACCTCTGAAAGTAGATACAGAGCCAGCTCCAGCCTCAGAGGCCTCGTGCCCCTGGCATGTGACCAGTGAGAACAGTCCAGCTGAGGAGAAGCGTGAGCTCATGGCTTTCCCTCCCCAGCTGGTGGCAGAACAATTAACAATAGTAGATGCGGTGAGCAGCTGGTTTCTTGTCGGGGGTTGGGGGGAGGGATTCCCTCTGCCATCAGTTGCCCCAGACCTGCCTTTTCCTGATCTGGACTCTTATGACGTGGGTCCAAATCCCAGTCCCACCACTTGCCATTTGTGTGACTTGGGTAACTTTCTTAGCCTCTGAGCCTTTGCTATCCACCGTAGTCAGTAGAGATGGACACCAATAGCACCTGCTGCAAAGATATTGACTGTGCAGATTAAATGGGGTAGAACAGATAGAAAGCTGGGTAGGGCCCAGCCCAGTTGGTGGGGAAGGAACACTCACTGTGTGCAGCCAGGTCCATGGGTTGGCACCCATCTGCCCAGGAGGCCCAGCAGCCTCAGCACTTATTAGACACCTGATGTGTACTTAATTCGAAGGGGGACAAACAAGGCCGTGGTTGTAGCTGTTACAGGAGAATACGCATCTCAGTAGAAAGAGCAGAGGGTGATCAGGATGGGTGAAAGATGCCCCCTTGGGAAGAATCAACTTGAGCCAGCTTCTGGAATCTTAGAGTTAGTGAGGATGGACTGGAGGCAAATGAATCCTTCCTTCCCCACCAGTATTGGGTCCTGAGTCATCCCATGCTGTATGCCCTCAGTAGACAGAGAACAAATCCTGGGGACCTCCACAAGGCTCAGACATTTCCTCAGCTTCCTGAGCTCCAGGTCTGACCAGTGACTCCTGCCTGGGCCTGTGGGGGACTGTGGACACTGAGCTGGGCTGTGGCAGTGCCAGGTGACACTCTCCTTGGTCCCCAGGAGCTATTCAAGAAGGTGGTGCCCAGTCATTGCCTGGGCTCCACCTGGTCCAAGAGGAACAAGCCTGGCAATGAGCACCTGGCACCCACAGTCCGTGCCACCATCACGCATTTCCAAAGTGTGACCAGCTGTGTCCTCACCACCTGCCTTGGGGACCTGAGCATGACTGCCCAGGACAGGGCCAGGGTAGTGGAGCACTGGATCCATGTGGCCCAGGTATGCTGGGGGAGTTCCAGTGGAGTCCCACTCTGGATCCTGGGGAACTGCCTCTTCACCTTCTCAGTTCTATGGTCTGAGCCCCTCCAGAGTCCGTAGGCCTTTCTTGCCAGAGGCACACTGACTTTGACTCACATGTCCTGGTGGTGGCCTTCCTACTTGGCTTCTTCTTTGAATTAAGCAAAATCCTCCTCCCTGAAAGGGGAACCCTCCTACACTGTTGGTGGGAATGCAAGTTGGTGCAACCACTCTGGAAAAAACAGTAAGGAGGTTCCTCAAAAAGTTGAAAACAGAGCTACCATACGATCCAGCAATTGCACTACTGGGCATTTACCCCAAAGATACAAATGTAGGGATCCAAAGGGGTACTTGCACCCCGATGTTTATGGCAGCAATGTCCATAATAGCCAAACTGTGGAAAGAGCCAAGATGTCCATCGACCGATGAATGGATAAAGAAGATGTGGTATGTATATACAATGGGATATTATGCAGCCATCAAAAGGAATGAGATCTTGCCATTTGCAACGACGTGGAGGGAACTGGAGAGTGTTACGCTGAGCGAAATAAGTCAATCAGAGGAAGACATGTGTCATATGACCTCACTGATATGAGGAATTCTTAATCTCAGGAAACAAACTGAGGGTTGCTGGAGTGGAGGGTGGGGTGGGAGAGATGGGGTGGCTGGGTGATAGACATTGGGGAGGGTATGTGCTATGGTGGGTGCTGTGAATTGTGCAAGGCTGTTGAATCACAGATCTGTACCTCTGAAACAAATAATGCAATATATGTTAAGAAAAAGAAAAAGAAGAAGGAGACAATAGTAGGAGGGGAAGAATGAAGGGGGGGGACATCGGAGGGGGAGACGAACCATGAGAGATGATGGACTCTGGAAAACAAACTGAGGGTTCTAGAGGGGAGGGGGCTGGGAGGATGGGTTAGCCTGGTGATGGGTATTAAAGAGGCCACGTTCTGCATGGAGCCCTGGGTGTTATGCCCAAACAATGAATTATGGAACACTACATCAAAAACTAATGATGTGATGCATGGTGATTAACATAACAATAAACAGCACCCCCCCCAAAAAAAAATCCTCCTCCCTCTGAGTGTTACTCTTCTGGCCCTAAATGTGCACTTCCAGGGCTCCATCTCATCTGGGAGGGGAGGAGAGGGGAGTTTTAAACTGAGGGGGTTGAAACTAGAGCAAATAGGGCTCTAGCTCCCCACCTCACAGCTCATCCTCTTTCCTCCCCAGGAGTGCCAAATTCTGAAGAACTACTCCTCTTTGCATGCCATCCTCTTTGCTCTGCAGAACGCCTCGATTTGCCGTCTGAAGAAGACATGGCAGAAGGTTTCCAGGTAGATAGGCTTCTCTCCACAGATTGGACCAGGATGGATTAGGGATCTCTCATACGTCTGTCGTTGCCCCATCAGTCAGCTGGGAACTCCTGGGAGGCCGCAAACCCTGAGGACAGAGACTGGGCTGATGTTGGGGTCTTTAGCCTCTCTGGGTCCTCAGTCCACCAGTTCGGCTTCAGGAATCCGTTTCTTTATATGTCAGATACTGGGTTGATTTAAGTTGGAGACTTTCAAGTGTTTACAGCAACTGAACCCTATGCCCAGAGAAAACCAAAACTAGGCAACACAGAGAAGCTTAATACAAATGTGAATAGAGGCCTCAGGTGACCAGCATGAAAGCCCCCCTCCCCAGTCACAAGGAGACCTTAGTGCACAAAGGAACCCAGCGAAAATACTCATTCAGATGAAGCTTTTGGTTCTGAAATAAAAGGGACTTGCACTCAAATCCCCACGTTATTCCTAAATTTCTCTTTTTTCTTTTGTCTCTTCTCAGGAAGAGCTACAAAAAATTTAAGAAGCTCCAAAGCCAAGACAAGTCACTCAGCAGGGAACTGATAACCAAGGTAGAGTGGAGGCTGGGGGTCTGGAAAGAGAGGAGGACTGAGAGGGAAGGGGGACTGGGCAGGATGTGGTTTTGTTAGTTTCTCACGTAATGATTTAGATGTTCTGGACTAACAGGAAGAGGGACCTGTGTGGCCTATGGGCAAGTGGGGGCGGGGGGTCCAGTTTGAAGTACAGGAGTCTCTGGTCATAGGGTATAGTGGTGTTGGCTGGGCTGTCCAGCTGGCAACGTTAGCCAGTCTCCTGCTTCCGTGAGGGCCCATCCTGCTGGCACTAATGAGGGGATGGGATGGTTAGGGAGTCCTCTCTTTCCGAGACCAGCCCACTGTGCTCTAAGAAAGCCAGGACTGTGCTTTTACTTCTGTTTTTGCAACACCTCCAAGGGGAGGGCGTGTCCCGGGGGATTCCCATGGACCAGGTGGACAAAAAGGCTTCCCAGGCTTGGGTCCAAATGGCTGGGCCAGAGACAGATGTGTGTGCCTTCTGTGACTCCACACCGTGCCCCTATGGCAGCCACTGCTATTCACTCACTGGCTATTTCTCACCTGAGTGTCCAGTTGACAATGACATATGCCCTCAGTGGCTAATGAGGAGGGTCTGGGGGAAATGGTAGTTTCGCAGTGGGGAGTGGGTCCTTCCTTCATCAGAAGCTTCATGTAAATGGGGAAACCAAGTGTCCTGTCATCCTCTTCTCTGTCAGTCAGAGGTAGCGCTTTCAGGGTTGCCTTCCTGAGTGAATGAAGCAAGACTGCTGAGTTGAGGAATGCCCTGAGGAGTTGTTGCTTGGGGGAGGTGAAATCTTTGGCTTTGCCTTGGTTCTGGTCTGGATGCAGAGACTCCAGATCGGCTAAGGCCGGCAGGAGCTGCTTAACCAGACTTTGAGAACACCCCATCCCTCTCCATCTGTGGCTTGGTCCAGGTAGGGGCCTGGACTTTCCTCAAGAGCCCAGAGGGAAGGATTTGTGGTCAGTGGTGGTCTCAGACTGAGTGAGAGCCGCTGAGGCAGGGTCTCTGGCTAAAAGGGGACAGTGACCTCTCAATGTGTGAGCCCCTGAAAAACTTATTGCCCCTCTCGGGCCTCATCTGGGAAATGGGGAGATGATGATTCTGTGGTGCAGGCCTCAGCAAGTGGTGATGAGGTCCGAGGGAGGAAAGGAATGTGTGGATCTTTCCTGCTCCATCTGGGTGTGCGAGGGCAGGAACAGTGATGATAGAAGTATGGCACTGGGTCCTCAGGAGACCCTGTGCGGGGGGTGGAGTTCTCACCCTTTTCAGATGAGGAAGCAGGCCTAGGGAGGCCAGGCCACAGTCCCTGGGCCACACACAGAGTGAGTGTTGGAGCTAGGATTGATCCAGAATCAGAACACACTGGGAAGACAGAATAGCACTGGTACCAGATGACTCAGGTCAGACGTCCGGTGGCCAAAACCCGTAGTAGTGCTGAAGAGACTTTGAGCGAGGGGAGTGGTGTGGCCTCACTGTCCGCAACCCTGGCAGGAGGCACCCTCCAAGTTTGTCACCCCGGAGATCAACACCCAGAAAACCCAGGAGAGGCAGCAGCAACAGCAGAAAGTAAGTGTGCCCGTGGGGCAGGGGCTCCAGGGTGAGAGCAGGGGCTCCCCCTCCCAGCAGGAGGCCTCCAAATCAAGAGAGGAAGGCCCTTCTTACTCCAGCCCTGACTCCTCTTGTCGCAGTGCCTGAAATCCTTCCTTAGAAGTGACCAGGAAGATGGTGTGTAAAGCTGGGTGCAGGATGGATTTGGGGGTAGGGAGGGGCCTGGGGCCACACACCCTGTGATTGGCCAAAGTCAGGTCCTGGGAAGTGATTAGGAGTCTGGTGGTCTTGGAGGGTGAGGAGAGGGGGAATTGGGAGGAGGCTGCTGAGGGACATAGTCTGCTCCATGTGGGAACCCTGGGGTGGGCCAGGAGGCTGAGGGTGAGGAGTTTTCTGTGAAAGGCTGTGGGGGCTCCTGAGAGCAGGGCCTCATCCCACCCCTACCACAATGGCACAGGGTGTTGTCCCCTACCTTCGAACATTTCTCAGTGAACTGCTGCTGATGCACCTGACCATGGAGGATTATCTGGAGGTGGGTGAGCCTGGGGACTAAGCAGGGAACCATGACTGAGGCTTGGGAGCAGAGAGCCCCTGTGCTGAGCCCTGAGCTGTCAGAACTTGGCAAAACTCCTCTCCTGAGAACCTCACAGCCACTCCTGTGAGCTGGTAAATCATGCCCATCTGAAGGGCGAGTGAAGGGAGACTCCGCATAAATAAGACATTGTTCTGGGTTCCCCAGGCTGGTAAAGCAGCAGACATGCCTGACTGCAAAGTGCACAGGTTCTGACAGAGCTGGAATCAGCCTTTTCCTCATATGATGCCCCTTGGGAGAGAGCCAAGTCTGGCCCCTCCACGTCAGGAAGCATATAAGTGAGCAGTCCCTTCCTGCCTGAGGCCTCAGCCTCCTTGTATTATCATCAGAAAGGGCCGGGCTATAAGCTTCCTGAGCCTCTGTCCCCATGTGCCCCCTTCTTTGGGCCCAGAACCTGGCTAGAGCCTTGTCCCGTTTTCTGTATGTGCCTGGCCCCCTTGTGGGACCCGGCAGTAGTGCAACATGAGAAGGAGTGGGCATAGAGGGACTAGTAATGGCTATTGGGCTCTTTCTGATGGATTTTGATTGTCTGCCTTCCAGGGGGGAGAGATCAATCTCAGGAAAAGGAATGCGGTGAGCAGCTGTGGCACTTCCTGCGGGAGAGGTTGGGGAGTGGAAATCAGAGACCCCCACCCCCACCCCCACCCCCCAACAGATTGCTCCCTGGCTCCATCCCGTGTTTTATGTTTGTTGGGCGAGTTTGATAGCAGAGAAGTAGAAGACCCAGCCAACTGACATTTGGGGGTGGGGGGAGAATCAAGGCAAACTTCCTTGAGGACGGGCTACTTCCACCTACCCTTGAGAACAGCTATGGCCTCGATGGAACTGAGGGAAGGAGGGTTCCCGTGTATGCAAAGACCCCGGACCTATCCCCTGTCCCAGTCCTCATCCCCCATGAGGCCTTGTCTGTATCCTGTCCTCCTCTCTGGCCCCAGGAATATGAAATAATGAGGGAGATCCTGCTGCTCCAGGTGGCTGCAGATAATTACAACCTCAACCCCAACGAGCAATTTGGGGCCTGGTTCCGAGACCTGGAGAGGCTCAGTGAGAATGAGAGGTGAGATGAGGCCAGGCAGGAGATGGGGGAGGGCAGTGGTAGACTCTCCCTGGTGGCCAGTCCAGAGAACCTGTGTGCATGGCTCCCTGGACAGCCCGAGACCTTGCTGCACGGTGACCCCTGGTGTACCTGGACTTTAGCTGCTGGTCAGACACTGGGAAGGACACCTTAGCTGTGGCTCCTGACCGGCTCACAGGTGTCACTCTGTCCTGTAGCTACATCCTGTCCTGCCAGCTGGAGCCCCGATCCTAGTCAGCCAGCAGAACTGGGAAGGCCCAGAAGAGCCAGCCTTCGTCAAGCTCAGGGGCGAGTGAGTGTCCAGGCTGGCAGTGCCACCTCTCCCTCAGCTGTGGGGACACAGCTGGGATGCTTGGGGGTTCCAGGACCCCTGCTCTGAGGGGAAGGAGACCATTGGGAGGCTCTTCCTGTGGTCCCCTGAAGGCCAGGGGAAGAGACAATGATCCCACCCATCCCCCTGCCTTCTTTTCTCCAAGGCCCATACATAATCATTTGGAGGGATGATATTTAGTAAATGCTAGATTTATATATTATTATATTAAAGTCCTGTTGCTTTGAAAGCCTGGGAGTTGTTATTTGATTCTTTTATTTCCTGCGCTAATTTAAATGATGAACAGATGCTCACATTCCTTCTTGAATAAAGAAATCTTGCAGCTTATTGTATGTGTGAGAGAGGAGAAAGTCCATGCCACACTCTTACTGGTGAAGTGGCCCCCAGTTCCCCTTCCTCAGAGGATATGTTCACTTCAGTGTTGCTCACCTGTGAGGAGCAGTGACAGTCCTCCAACCTCCCAGGGTCTAGAGGTTGAGGCTAGTCTTACAGACATAGCAACAATCCCTGAAATTGGGAGTCTAACAATTTGCCAGGACCGCTTCCCGCCCCAGGACAGCACCTACTTTTTCACACTTTGGAGGAAGAGAAAACATTTGTGGCTTCTCTTGTTGAGGTTTCTTTCAACAAGTTATTAAAAACTTGCCGTTCTCTAGCTCAACATCTGGAATGGCATCAGCACTAAGTAGAGAAAAGCTTGAAAAGAGACCAAAGGGCGCACATGAAAAGGACAAGGCCAGCAGATGATAATTTGTGACTAGCTTAAGGGCAGGCAGGACTTCCCATCCTCAGTCTCCCTCTAGGGGCTCCCTCCTCCCTCTACCTATATTTGAATCCTCCTGGGATATTTGTCCATGACTCCTGAATTCCTTTTCCTACTTGTCTTATATCTGGGATAAAGATTGTGATGCGTGTTTTGAAGCTACGGCTGGGCTTCCTTCCATAAACATTTATGCTATCTATGAATAAGATTTTCAGCATCCCCACAGTTATTATACAATTCTCTTTAAGGCAGAAATTCCCTCCATCGTTGCCACTCCTTCTTGGCTGGGACTTGCTGGATGTGGGATGGTTTCTTAGTTGCCAAAATCAGGTCCATATACATGGCCAGTGAGAATTCCCACATTCTCCCTTACTGGCCAAGATGACTTCTGGGTCCATGTGGCTCTGAAGTCCATGGTCTCAGACAGTCACAAGTGTGTCTACACAGCTTTGTTGTTACTGATTTGTCCTACATTGGTAGCTAGGCCCAAGTTCATGAATGGCTGCATTCTTTGCCATAGTTTAATGCTTTAGTTCTGTCAAGGGGGCCATGGGTGAACCTGGAGGCATGAGAGGTGAGGGTACAGGGAGTTCCATCACAGGAAATGCCATCAAACTGATGATCTGTGGACATGTATGGACACAGAATTATCAATTTAAATAGTCAGAACAGACACTGTTCTGATCTCACCTGAAGTTCCCACACCATGATCAGGAGGTAAAGTTTTAACACAAAGAATACTGAGAGGATAAATGTAAAATGTAATTCGTAAGTTTCTTTAAGAAACATAGATCAGGGAGCAAGATGGCGGAGGACTAGGAGACCCGGATTTCGTATGGTCTCAGGAATTCATCTGGATAGGGATCAAACCATTCTGAACTCCTACAAACTCAACAGGAGATTGAAGAAAAGAATAGCAACAACTCTCTGAACAGAAAAGTGACCACTTTCTGGAAGGTAGGACGTGCGGAGAAATGAATCCGAGGCGATATTCGGGAGGATAGACAGCAGAGGATGGACCTCCGTCAGCCGCTTCTGGCAAGTGATAGAGCCATGGGGCACAAAATCGGAACTTTTAGAAGTCAGCTCCACTGAGGGACATCGCTCCGGTGGAAAACTGGGGTGGAACCCTCGCAGGACAGTGTGGTCTCAGGACCCTCGGGGTCACAGAAGACCGGGGGTGCCTGAGTATGGCAGAACTCCCAGGTATCAGAGCAGGGAGGCCGGCTGCAGAGACAGAGCTGAGGCGTGGGCTCTCAGCTCAGGGTTGCCATAGACTGTGATCCCGGGCAGTCGGGCCACTGCTCCTCCAGCAGGGACCCAACAAGTGGCAGATCCGGGATACTCACCTTCCTCCCCCAGGAGGCGTGGAGCGGGAGTGCACCACAGGGATCTGCTGGGTTTGGAGACTCCACACCAAGTTGGGTGCCAGAGATAGAAACACTCAGTCACAGGCTGGGTGAGAACGGAGTGTGGTCAGAGACCTGGTAAATGGGAGTGACTGACTGCTTTTCTCTGATGGCTCACTGAGGAGCGGTGCCCTATTCTTAGCTCCTCCCGGGCAGAGATTGGGAGGCCGCCATTTTCACTTCCGTCCTCCAAAGGTATACAGAAAGCTTGCAGGGAACAAAAGCTCCTGAGAGCAAACCCCAGCAGATTACTTAGCCTGGATCAGGCAAGGGCGGGGCAATTCCGCCTCCGGCAAAGACATCTGGCAACCATGGCAACAGGATCCTCCCGCAGAAGATCAGCAAGACAGCCATCCAAGACCAAGTTTACCCATCAATGAGAATGGTAGAACTCCAGCGCTAGGGGAATAACGCACATAGAATCCATGACTATTTTTACCATGATTCTTTAGTCTTTCTAAGTTAATTTTTACAATTTTTTTTTGAATTTTTCTTTCTCCCTTTTTCAACCAACATCTTATCAATTCCTTTTTTAAAAAACATTTTTATTTTTCATTTTTAGAGTCATATTCTATCCCTTCATAGTAGTTAACTGTATTTTTGGTATATATATATAAGTTGTTGTCTCTTTAAAATTTTGAGATAGTTTCTTCTAACATCAAAATATACCCTAAATCTCTAGTGTATGGTTTTGTTCTACTCTCCTGCCTGATCACATTCTCTCCCTTTTTTCTTTCTTTTTTTAAATCCTTTCTTTTTTCAAATGACTTCTTATCAATTCCTTTTATAAAATTTTTTATAATTTTCATCTTTACAGTCATATTTCATCCCTTCATCATATCAACCCTTATTTTTGTACATATATAAGTTTTTCTTTCTTTAAAATTTTGGGAAGCACTATCTTCTAACAGAAATACACCCAAAATCTAGTGTGTGGCACTGATCTATGCACCAGCCTGATCATATCTAATCATATTCTGTTTTATTTGTTTTGTTCTGTTTTTGTTTGTTTTTATCTTTTTCTTTTTCTTCTTTTTCTTTTTTCTTTCTTTCCCTTTCTTTTCCCCTGGCTTCAGGTCTTTTCTGATTTTTTAGAGTATATTTTCTGGGGACGTTGTTACCCTGTTAACATTTTGTTCTCTCATTCATCTATTCTCCTCTGGACAAAATGACAAGATGGAAAAAATCACCTCAACAAAAAGAACAAGAGGTAGTACCAACTGCCAGGGACCTACTCAATACAGACATTAGTACAATGTCGGATCTAGAGTTCAGAATCATGACTTTAAAGATACTAGGTGGGCTTGAAAAAAGGATGGAAGTTATTAGAGAAACGCTTTCTGGAGAAATAAAAGAACTAAAATCTAACCAAATCAAAATCAAAAAGGCTATTAATGAGGTGCAATCAAATATGGGGGTGCTAACTGCTAGGATAAATGAGGCAGAAGAGAGAATCAGTGATATAGAACACCAAATGATGGATAATAAAGAAGCTGAGAAAAAGAGAGATAAACAACTACTGGATCACTAGGGCAGACTTCGAGAGAGAAGCAATACCATAAGACGAAACAACATTAGAATAATTGGGATCCCAGAAGAAGAAGAAAGAGAGAGAGGGGCAGAAGGTATATTGGAGCAAATTATAGCAGGGAACTTCCCTAATTTGGGGAAGGAAACAGGCATCAAAATCCAGGAGGCACAGCTAACCACTCTCAAAATCAATAAAAATAGGTCAACACCCCGACATCGAATAGTAAAACTTATGAGTCTCAGAGACAAAGAGAAAATCCTGAAAGCAGCTTGGGACAAGAGATATGTAACTTACAATGGCAGAAACATTAGATTGAAAACAGACCTATCCACAGAGACCTGGAAGGCCAGAAAGGACTGGCAGGATATATTCAGAGCACTACATGAGAAAAATATGCAGCCAAGATACTATATCCAGCTAGGCTGTCATTGAAAATAGAAGGAGAGATAAAAAGCTTCCAGGACAAACAAAAAATAAAGGAACTTCAAACCATGAAACCAGCCCTACAAGGAATATTGAAAGGGGTCCTCTAAGGAAAGAGAGAGCCTAAAAGCAACATAGACCAGAAAGGAACACAGACAATATACAGTAACAGTCACCTTACAGGGAATACAATGGCACTAAATTCATATCTTTCTTTTTTTTTTAAAGAGTTTTTTTTTTTTAACGATTTTATTTATTTATTTGAGAGAGAGAGAGAGAAACAGCATGAGAGGAGATAGGGTCAGAGGGAGAAGCAGGCTCCCCGCCGAGCTGGGAGCCTGATGTGGGACTTGATCCCAGGACTCCGGGATCATGACCTGAGCCAAAGGCAATTGCTTAACTAACTGAGCCACCCAGGAGCCCTAAATTCATATCTTTCAATAGTTACCCTGAATGTAAGTGGGCTAAATGCCCCAATCAAAAGACACAGGCTCTCAGATTGGATGAAAAAACAATACCCATCGATATGCTATCTGCAAGAGACTCATTTTAGAACCAAGGACACCCCCAGATTGAAAGTGAGGGAGTGGAAAACCATTTACCATGCTAATGGACACCAAAAGAAAGCTGGGGTGGCAATCCTTATATTAGACAAATTAGATTTTAAACCAAAGACTGTAATAAGAGATGAGGAAGGACACTATATCCTATTTAAAAGGTCTATCCAACAAGAAGATCTAGCAATTGTAAATATCTATGTGCCTAACATGGGAGCAGCCAATTATATAAGGCAATTAATAACAAAAGCAAAGAAACACATGGACAACAATACAATAATGGTGGGGGACTTTAACACCCCCCTCACTGAAATAGACAGATCATCTAAGCAAAAGATCACAAAGGAAATAAGGACTTTAAATGATACACTGGACCAAATGGACGTCACAGACATATTCAGAACATTCCATCCCAAAGCAATGGAATACACATTCTTCTCTAGTGCCCATGGAACATTCTCCAGAATAGATCACATCCTAGGTCATAAATCAGGTCTCAACCAGTACCAAAAGATTGGGTTCATTCCCTGCCTATTTTCAGACCACAGTGCTTTCAAACTGGAACTCAAACACAAGAGGAACGTTGGAAAGAACTCAAATACATGGAAGCTAAAGAGCATCCTGCTAAAGAATAAATGGGTCAAACAGGAAATTAAAGAAAAATTTAAAAAATTCATAGAAACCAATGAAAATGAAAACACAACTATTCAAAATCTTTGGGATGCAACAAAAGCAGTCCTAAGAGGCAAGTATACAGCAATACAAACCTTTCTAAAGAAACAAGAAAGGTCTCAAGTATACAACCTAACCCTACACCTAAAGGAGCTGGAGAAAGAACAGCAAATAAAGCCTAAACCCAGCAGGAGAAGAGAAATAATAAAGAAATCAATGAAATAGAAACCAAAGACCAGAAGAACAGATCAGCGAAACTAGGAGCTGGTCTTTGAAAGAATTAACAAGATTGATAAACCCCTGGCCAGACTTATCAAAAAGAAAAGAGATATGATCCATATCAACAAAATCATGAATGAAAGAGGAGAGATCACAACCAACACCAAAGAAAT